TTGTAATGGCAGCACTCCAGAGGTCAAAGGAAAGGCATCCTCAATAGTGAATTGGAAGCCATCTCCCTAGCCGTTCACATCTCTACTCCATCCCTAAACATTCTACAACACAATGGGCTCTTCTGACCTGCAGGCCATTTGAACTTATTTTCCCATTTCACATCGAGGCAAACTGAGGTCTTGAAACCTGAGGCAAGTTGTCCACAGTGACCCACATCCTGGGCTTCCTGGTTGCCATGGTCTCCAGAAGCCAAGTCAGAGAGCTCTCCCTCCCGCGTGCACCAAGATCCTAGAAGGGAGCCAGTGACCCTGGGCTTTTACTAAAACTTTCGCAGGCGCGGGTGGGTCCGCGGGCTGCTGCGGGTCAGTGCTTGGCTGCTCTCCCCTACCTGCTGGAGCCCTGGTGAGGCTGCGTGCCTGTGAACTGGGAGGCAGCCGAGTGCAGAGCGGAGGCCGGAGGCTGGTAAATAATTCATCCTGAGAAGTTGATAGCGCTCCCCAGCACGGCCCCAGCCCCAACCGGGCCGCGCCTCCCTCCCAAACCAGCCGGACCTGCTTTCCCCGCTCCGCCCCGCAGCCCCCTCCCACCAGCCAAAGCCCAGTGTGGGGCTCTTGGGCTCACACCGTGAGAGGGCTACCGGGCAGAGATGGCTCTGCACACCCCGGTGTTGTCCCCGGCCACACCCACGTAAGTGTCTGGGGTGGGGACGGGTGGACGGAGTGGAAAGGCTGGGGTTGGGGGGCGGGCCCCAGCTTGGCCTGGGAGCCCCAGCTGACCTCTCCTCAGGGGCCTAGGGGACTGCAAGGGATGGTGGTGGCCAAACCTGGGCCTCCTTGAGAGCCACTTCCCCAGAGAGCTGGGCCTACTGCAGGGTTAGGGGACAGAGAATGTCAAGATCCAAGAATGTGCTTCCAAGTTTAGTCAGTGTCACCAGCCCCCTCTAGTAGGCAGACAGAATGCTAGCCACTCCAGGAAGAAAGGGCGCCCCAACCTCTAGAGATTGGCAAAGTCTTAGGATCAATGGCCACCCCTCTGCTCCTTATCGGTACCCAGGGCTATGGCTGAGGCGCGACCTTGGAGTTGGACATGAGCGATGGGGGTAAAAGTGAGGGAGTCGGCCTTAGCTGAGGGCTTTTCAAAGTGAGAAGTTTGGCTCAGTCACCAGCTCTTGCCTAGTATGTGGCTAGCTCCATCCTTAGCAGGGGACAGAATGTCTAGAGGGGCTCCAAGGTATTAGAGAAACTTCTAGAAAGAGGGCTTCCCTCCAGCAGGGACCCCAATTCTGTCGTTCACTCTTCTGTGCCCTCCATTGCATTATTCACCAAGTACAAACCTGGTTGCTTAGCAACGGGAACCCGATCCCCCCCCCCCCAGGAAGAGTTAGGGAGATAACATCGTAAGAGTGGGACAGCTGAGGGGGACTTCGGCCCTCTCCCAGGGACACAGTGATGAGCAGGAGTCTACTCTTCCCTGGGAACACCTATCAGGTGACCTTCGGCACCTGAAATTCCCACCTCTAAGTGCCTCTGTGGCCTCCTGTGGCGATCCAAGCAGAGGTCTCTAGAGCCCCTGGACCCCAAACTGTGTGCTGCCAACACTGAGGGAGAAGTCCTTCACGTCTCATTCCCTCTCCCAGCTTTGCACAAGTCTTGTGCTGTGTCTTTGTGTATGTGACTGTGTGAGTGTGTGTGTGTGTGTGTGTGTGTGTGTGAATGCGTGTATGTGAGTTTGTGAGTGAATGTGGTGTGTGAGAGTGTGTGTGAATGTGGATGTGTGTGTGGGTGCATGTGTGTCTTCTGTGAGTGGATGTGTGTGCATATACAAGGATGTGAGCGTATGAGTGTGTGTGTGCGTGTTTGCATGTGTGCATCTGTGTGCCTGTGAGTGTATATGTATAAGAGTATCGCATGCTTGTATGTGTGCATGCTTGTGTGTGTGTGCATGTGTGAGCATGGACAGAGGACAACCTTGTGTGGTTTTCTCACCTTGTTTGGAACAGGCTCTTGTTGACTGCTGCGTACTCCCTGCTATCCTGCTGCAGCTGGGAGGACAGAGCCAGCTTTAAGCTTGTCCTGGGCCTCTGCTTACTGAGCCATGTCCCCAGCCCCCTGAAGAAGTCTTTTTGCTGAACCTCAGTTTCCCCTTTGGTAAATGGGAACTCTAGCACTTTTTGCCTCCTAGGATCATGGCATTTCAGAGCCTGACTGGCACATGTCTTGTGGCTGCTTTGGCCAGGTCTGTTCTTAGCTGGGATGTCAGATGCAAGCCTGGACTGCAGCCAGCAAATGGTGAGGGGTGGAGCCTGGGTAGAGGTGGCTGTGGCCAGCGGAAGCCCTGCAGGGCACTTAGAGGGCTATAAATAGCACAGTTATGCCTTCAGAGTGTGTCGGGAGGTCTGACAGGACCTGTCTGGAGCGTGGACAGTGGCACTGGGATTCTCTCCCGCTACGTAAGGATCTAAATTAATAAACTCTTAAAGATCTCTGCGCCCACCCCGTCTGGCATGGAGGATGACAGGCAGACATCCCTCTCTGACCATTGGCTGAAGCGGGGTTAACACAGCCCCACAACTGTTGCTCAGTGCTGGTCAGTGTTGTTTTGACGATGCCTGTCCCCTAACTGAAGATCCAGAGCCCCCCTGGGAGTGGAGGAGCAGGGATGTTGACACACTTCAGTCAGGACAGGGGTGGAGAAATATCAGGTTAAACCCTAAACCTCAAATAACCCTCCTTGAAGCTCAAAGTCTGCAGCTAGGTAGGATGGCCCAGTGACCCTTGCCCTCAGCAGGAAGGGGGTAGAAAAGTGAAAAAGACACAGCTCTGGAGTTACCATGGCAATGGTTTAATGGTCACTTCTCTCCCCCACATTCCTTCATACTCTAGGGCTTCCGGGAAACGGAGCAGGAGCTAAAGTTCAGAGAGGACATGAGATTAGCAATAGACGCACAGAATGTTTGGAGCCTGGCAGGATCCAGATTGTCTGCAGGAGCCTGTAGGGACAGTTATTGTAATTCAGTACAAATTACATTAAGTGTGGGAAATACTTAAATGGTCTCTTGCACAATCGGTCAAGCTGTCCCTGCCCATTTCACAGATGAGACTGGGGCTGAGAAAGATGATGTGAGAGCTAGCCTTAGCTTCATAGTCATAATCTCTCATTTCCTCTCTCCAGACTCCATCATCCCCTCAGCTTCCTCTCTGGTAGGGAGGGGGGAACAGGCAAAGCACTGGACTCTCTCTCTTGGCAGCCCAGTGATCTTGGTTAGGAAAGGGACATTTAGGAGCAGGCCTGCAGGGAGATGGGGTGTCTAGGAAAGGCTCCCTTAGCCCATACACTCTCCCCACAGGGTCATGGCAGAAAGCGCCCTCTATCGGCAGCGGCTGGAGGTCATCGCTGTAAGTGGCACTCTCCCACCCCAGAATCCCAAATGTTCTTCAGGCTTCTTCTTGGTCTGCTCCATCAGGATAGGGAATGTTTACCCCCTAAGGAGCGAGTCTGGCTCTGTGAAGAACGGAGCTGCACCTTCAGCTTCGTCTCGTCCAGGGCACTCCTCAGGCAGCTCCTCTGTCGGGTCCTAGTCACTGGCTGAACAGAGGGTGTCATTTGGCACACCCAGAAATGCCTCCTCCAATGCGTCACGTTCCCTACCGCTCAGATCTTTGTGTCTTGCACCTCACCCTCGGTGTCCTTAGGGAACCCTCTCCCCTCCATCACTCTAATCTGCCTGTGTGCCTCTCCTCTCTACTCCCATTTCTCTAACAGCCCTTGCTGTAACCCATTCCTCACTTGCCTTTTTCTGGACCTCAGCTCTCTGCACCCTCATCTTTTCACTTCGTATTTCTGACTACCACTATGAACCTCCAACCCACTTTCACTCCATATTTCTGTGCTCCGCATTTCAGAACCCTTTCTACAACCTGTTTCTGCATCTCCTTCCTGAACCCTGACCTCTACCACACTGCACCCATTTCTCTTATCCCACCTTTGTGCTCCATTTCCCTGACTTCCATGCTCTGCACCTCATTTTTCTGCATTCCATCTCAGACATCAACTCTTAGCACCCGAACTTTCTGAAGCCCACTTCTGCACCTCAACCCTAGATCCCTTGTTTTCCAAGTCTCTGATAACCTGTTGTACACCATTTTTCCAACCCTCACTTTTGTATTCCACTTTCTAACTTCTCCCTCCCTCACTTCCACTTTTCTGCACCCCACTACTCAGCACCCCAACTTTAAGCAGCTCTATTGGGTACTTTGCACTAATCACCTCAGTAGTTCGTGTCTCTGAACACAACCTTTGAATCCTGATTTACCACAACTCTGTACCCCATCTCTGCCCCACCTCTATGTACGCCTGAGTCTCTCTGGATGGCTATCTCTGCACCCCCATTTTGGACTCCATCTCACTAACACCTCCTCTTCATCTGGACCCACATATCTCTGAACCCTTTTTCCCCCTTTTAAAGAATGTTTTTGTCTCAGTGTTCCTGTGGCCCAAAGCAGCCTCCAATTTGCTACTCCCTTTGTGGTCCAGGCTGGCCTGGGAATCATAAAGATCATCCTACCCCCGCGTGTGCAACTCACTTACCCATCCTCCCTCCCACCTTAGAAGTCCAAAACCCTAGTCCCCGCCCCCAGGCCCCCATTTGCGGACCACCATTGGGCGTGGGCCTGGCCTCCGCAGCATCAGGGCGCGGCAGCCTGGTCCCGCCCCGCCCCGCCCGCCCCGCCCCGCCCCTCCCTCTGCTGAGTCAGCGCTCTGCGGCCCCCGCCCGCTGGAGGACGCCCCGGGAGTCCCGGGAGCCCCAAGGAGGGGGGCGGAGGGCGGCATCCGTCCCGCCCGCAGCTCTGGTGTGTGCGCAGGAGAAGCGGCGGCTGCAGGAGGAGATCGGCGCCGCGCGTCGCGAGCTGGAGGAGGAGAAACTCCGCGTGGAGCGCCTCAAGGTTGGGGGCTCCCGTCCAGCCCGGGCAGTGAAGTGGGGTGTCTGTGTGAGTTCGGCTGAGAGACAATAGGAACCTCTGTTTAATTTGGGGAGGGGGAGATGGAGAGGAGGCGGGCGAAAGGTAGCCATGGAGACAGCTGCCCCATTCTGCAGGAGTATGGGGGTGGTGGAGGCTTCTTTCCAGTTTGGTGGTGATGAGAGGAGCTTTAGGCCAACGTTGGGGTGGGGAGGGGCGCACTGGGAGGTCTCTCTGGGCTTCGCAGGGCCAGTCGACCGGGCAGGCTGGAAGGATGATGGTTGTGTGCCTCTGCTTGGGAAGGCTATGTGCTGGCATGGTGTTGGGGGACCAGATATGGACATGTCTCTCTCATCCTGATGAATGTGCCCTCTGGGCCGTTGCAAGCAATGGGTGGGGAGGCAGGCTTCCTGTGGCCAGCCCGGACTCCCTTCCCATGCCCAGAGGAAATCTCTCCGAGAACGTTGGCTCATGGATGGGACGGCTGAAGGGCCAGAGCGGTCGGAGGACCCCGCCTCCAAGGACCCACAGTCGCCTGAGGGGCAGGCCCAGGCTCGAATTCGCAACCTGGAAGACAGCTTGTTTTCGTGAGTCGGGGATCCCTGCTTTTGAGCCCAGCCCTGGCTTTTGGCAGACTTCAGAAATGGAGCAGGTTTGGTCCAGGCCGGCTTCGAGTAGCCCCTCTTTCCCTCAGGCTCCAGTCACAGCTGCAGCTGTTGCAAAGCGCGTCCACAGGTGCCCAGCACAGACCTGCTGGCAGGCCTGCCTGGCGCAGAGAGGTGAGCAGGGAGGGGTGGGGAGGAGGGGGTGTGGCCGGCAGGGTTAGAACAGGACACTACGGAGAATGCTCTCTAAAATGCGGCCTCTGTCTTGGTATGCAGGCAAACCCACGCACTGCTACTTTACTCTATGCTCGCGTGCAAATTGATTGTCTTGTTTAGAACTTAGTTTCCCCGTCCCTAAAATGGGAATACCAACTCCGAAGTGCCTTTGGGAGGGCCAGTGAGATTATAATTTGAAACTACTAGCCCAGGCTGACCTTGAACTCATGACCTTCCTGTTCAGCTTTCCCAGGGATAAGATGACAGGCTTCTACCATCATGCCTTGATTACAAAGAGTGTGCACGTGCAGATGTGTGCAGCTGCCGCTTTCTCCTTCCTGCGGTGCTGGCCGCTCTGCCTCCTTTCTAATCCCTTTACTATCTAGCTCATCCGGGCAGTGCTGTTTCTTAGCGTGCAACAACCTTCTCCAACTCAGCACTCTGGACAGGGCACACCCCACTCTGCTCTCCTCCGGGAGCCACGCCCAGTCTCGCCTCTACTGGAAACAGTCACCCCCAGACTGCTACTGGCTTCTTCCTTCTCGCAGCTTCTTCTTCTCCCCCTTTCCTATTTGTGTATTTATTCGTTTCGTGTCGATTACTACTCTCTTCCCATCTGAGCCTAAAGTCTGATTGCAATCTTTTCAGGTTGGGGGTGTGGTTCAGCAGTACTGCATTGGCCTAGTGTGGCCCCGGCCTTGGGTTCCGTCCCAGCACCCCCTGCCTTCCCCCAAAATCTTTTGTTTATGGTCACCTCAGAAACTGGCCAAGCAAGCTTTAACCTGATATTGATTAAGCAGGTGGAGTACAAACATACCTGAGAGGTAAACATCAGGGCCAATCTGACCTTGACTCTGTTCTCCTTAGGGTCCCCGCCCTCTTTCTCAGCCCACCATGGGGGCAGGCCCTGTAGGTGAGTATTGGAGTCCCGAGGTCGAGGGCACAATCACCACTACATCACTTGACCCAAGAGAATTTGGGACAAGGGTCCTCTTTGTCCCCCATTGTCCTGACCTTCCTGCCCTTTTCCCTCCTTGATTCCTTCAGGCCTCACAGATGTGGACAAGAGAACTTCCCTGCCAGCTGGTCCAGTGGGCTTGTCCCTTGAGTCCCCCTCTGATACCAGGGAGGAGCCCATCGGGGTTCTGCCAGCATTGAGGCCATCCCCTGAGGCCGAAGGGGACTCTTCAGAAGCCAATGGCCCTTCCTCTGGGCACAGCCCCATCCCAGAGCAGCTGAACCTAGGGGTAGCAAGTGTCACTAAGGCCAAAGGAGATGGTGTGGTGGAGGTGGTTTGGGCTGGGCTCAGTGCCACCGAGAACAGTGCCACAGGCCCCACGGGCGTGGAGCTGGAGGCTAAAGTGGAAGAAGTGGTGCTGGAGGCCATCGGGGCCAGGCAGGACACCAGCAGCCCTGAGCTGCCCACTTGGGTGAAGGAGGGCAGGGGCGTGGTGGAGGTGGTCTGGGAGGGGCTGGGAGGCAGTGATCTTGATGTCACAGGGGAGTCAGCCAGGGCTCTAGAGGCTGCACACACCAGCTCTCCAAAGCTCCAGGAGCAATTTGAAGCTGAAACGTCCAGAAAAGAGGCTGGTGCTTCAAGAGATAGTCCTGAGGGTGCTGGTCGGGAGGGCCCTGGAGGAGAGGAGGGCTCCTTCATTTGGGTGGAGAGAGGGGCCTTCAGTGAAGACTGGGAGGAGCTCTTGATGGAAGGTTTAGAAGCGCCCCCGGGGGTGGGGTGTGCAGGAGGACCTGAGACTGTGATGGGATCACAGCCCAGAGAGGGTGAAGCGTCCTGGGGGGTGGAGAGAAGAGAAGTGGAAAAATCAGAGGGCATGGAAGACGGGGAAAAAATGGAAATGCGAAGGACAGAGAGGGATGGGACAATTGTGCTGCCAGATGCTGCCCAAGGAAGGGAGGAAAGCTGGGCAGAAAAGAAAGAGAGAAAAGAAGGTGAGAGTCCCCTTCCAGCAGAGATAGCAACAGAGGAAACGTGGGAGGTGAAAGCGAAGGAAGATGAAGAGCCAATGGAAGTAGAAAAAGGAGGCGAGGGAGAGCCTGCCACCACTGAGAAGCCATTGGTGGCAGAAAAAAAACCAGAGAGAAAAAGAAGTGAGAAGCCATTGGACCAGGAGAGAGATGGTGAGGGCCCATTGGACAGAGAGCCAAAAACAAGTGATATGTTATTGGGTGGACAGACAGAAGGTGAGAACTCATTGGATGAAGAAACAAAAGAAAGTAAGAAACTGTTGGATGAGGAGACAGGAGGTGAGGGCCCATTGGATGAAGAAGGTAAACTATTGGATGAGACAGGAGGTGAGGGTGAAGAAATTAAAGAAAGTAAACTATTGGATGAGGAGATAGGGGCTAAGGGCCCCTTGGATGAAGATACTAAAGAAAGTAAGAAACTATTGGGTAGCGAGGCAGGAGGCACTGAGCCTTTATTAGAGCTGGAGAAGACCTCAGGTGCCGTGGAAGAGGTGAGTCCAGAAGAGCAAGGCAAATCCAACGAGGGAGCAGAGTTTACAGTAGAGGATGCCGGCCAGCCAGGAACCACTCATTTGGTCCAGGAGGAGCCCACATCAGAGGAGCAAGGACTGCAAGGCCCGGAGAAGCAAGAAGGGCCAATGGAAGAGGCAGCCAGGCGGCCTCAGCCCTGTGCTGAGACTGAGGGACCCTCAGGGGATGCCACGCCCCTCCTAGAAGAGACCCCAGCCCCGGAGCAGTCTGGGGAAGGCCAGCCACTGCTCCGTCATGAGGCGTCTGGGGCCAACCCTGGTGACCACCCGGCGCCTACCTATGCACCTGCCAGGCAGCTTGAGCTAGCTGAGGCCAAAGAAGATGGGGGCCCCAAGCAAAAGACGTGCCAGTGTTGTGTGGTCATGTGAGCCTCCGCCTGCCGCCCAGCACCCCACTCCTCCTCTCACAGCTACCTCGCTGCCTGGCATCCAGCAGAAGGTCCCAGGCACAGACAGGGTACCATAGGACTGGTGGTTACCCAGGAGCCAGTAGGCCCCTGCGTTTACTTACACCCGGGCTTTTAGATTCCCTACCCACTGCCTGTGGCCCTGAATCCCTTCTGCAATGAAGCCTTTATACTTGAAAATTAAATGTTAAGGCACTCTGGCTTTAGAAAAAAAAAAAACCGATTTATTTATTTATTTATTTTTCCTTATTTTATGTGTATGAGTTATGTTTGTGCATAACCATGTGCATGCATTGCTCACGGAGGCCAGGAGAGGGCGTCGGGTTCCCTGGAACTGAAGTTACAGGTGATTCTGAGCTGCCCTGTGGGTGCTGGAAACTGAACTTGGGTCTCCTACAAGGGCAGGGAACCAAATCTGGTCTCATGCATGAAAACAGGGGCTCTTCGGTGCCTCAGACCCTTGAACGAGTCTTTTGACATAGAATCACCCTCCTCATACCCTCCTTGAAGGCTGACCTTACTAGAACCAAAGGTTGTGATTGGGTGAGGTGACACACACCTCAGTGTAATCCCAGCACTGGGCATGCTGCAGCAGGAAGAACACAAGTTCGAGACCAGCCTTGGCTACAAATCAAGACTCTGACACAATAAAGAAAACAACAACAAATGGATTGGGCCAATGAGAGCATTAATTCTTCTGCAGTCACAAAAAGATGTCAAAGATACAGAGGCTTTAAAAAGAAAAATTGTTTGGGCATGGTGGCACACCCTCGTAATTTCAGTCCTTGGGAGGCAAAGGCAGGTGGCTTTCTGTGAGTTCCAGGCCAGCCTGGTTTATATATTGAGTTTCAGCCCTGATGAGATCCTGTCTCAAAAAGCTAAAAAAATAAAAAAGTCTAATCCAAGATGGCGACACAACTCCCAGCCTGAAGCAGAACAGGCTAGAACCCATGGGCTGGAGGCCTCAGAAGGCCCAGCTCCTCTGGTGTGGGCAGAAAGTGTTTCTCATACCCGGAGTAAAGTGGGGCAGAGGCTTTAGGGGACTCTGTCACGGGCGGTAGCTCCATCTCCTCCACTTGCAGGATAGGCCCATCCTTGGGTGGCTGGGGTAGGCTCACCTCCTGGGGAGATGGAAGTTTGAAACTCAGTGGTCCTCCCCACCCACTTGCCCCAGCATTTTCCAGTTGGAGGTTGGTGCTCCCACAGTTGCCATCTCCTAACCTTTATGTAAGGTTGCCCAGAATTGCTGTTGGCAGGGTCAGGAACCCTCTCCCAGAGCCATCGAGGAAGCAGCTTGTGTCCACGGTGGAAGCACCTGGCCAGCAGGAAGCCGGTGGCAAACACGTTGCTGGAATCCATGAACTTCCTGAGCCCCGAGGCCACCCAGCCAAGATCTACCTCCTACCCCTCAGCAGGGTAGAGCGCCCACGTCTGACACCCTTACCTGGTAATGGCCAGGCTCAGGCCACAGATGATCAGGAGCAAGCCCCCCAGGGAGAGGACCCAGGGCAGAGTTTTCCACCTGATCCCGTTATCTGTGGGTGGGGAGAATAGACCGGACTAAACATTCAGCCATCTTGAACAAGGGGGCTGTGGATGGGTGGACCTTTTAAGTGGGCGCGATTGAAGATATGACATCTTGAAGAAAGAGTGGGCTTTTCAGTGGGTGGGGCTGAGGGTGCAGCATTGTGAGGAAGAGGCGAGAGTTGGGGGTGCAGGGCTGTGCTGACCAGCAAGGATAGGGTTGGGAGTGCTGCAGATATACCGTGCTGGATAATACAGCACTTAGCAGGAGCAAAGTGCCCTGAGGTGGTCTTGGGGTGTGGTCCTGAGTTCCATCCTTAGCCCCATTCTATACATAATTCTCTCCTTCATCAGACTACCCACCATTAAAGACACCCCTAGCCAGAAATGGGCAGACATCTCCCCATCCCCACTTCATACCTGGTAGATGAAGCCAAAGGCTAGGACCAGGTGGGCCCTGTCCTCCAGTGGTGGACACCATCACCCACAGCTTGAAGGAACCCGAGTGTAGGTTGGGCAGGGTGACAGTCTGGATATTGCTGCTCACTGAAGGACACAACCAAACAAGATGGGGGAAGCAGTGAAATCATGCCCAGGGTGCTTGCACACATTCTATGCCTTTTCCTCTGCAACTTCCCATGTGGCTCCCTCCTAGTCTCCTTTATTTACTTCTGCAGAGGTCAGAGGGCATGTATCCCAACACAGGGGTCTTCACTTGGTGAGCAATCTGTCTAATAGTCCCGGTCCCCAGTAAATTTTGTCCAGTGTCACTTCCTTAACAAGTCTTCCGACTCCCCTCATTTAAAATGAATCCCCATTTAGTACACAGCTCTAATCACCACATGGGACCCCGATTAGGTGTTCTCTCATTTGCTTATGTCTGTGAACCTTCCATTGGGAAGTGAGCTCCTGAGCTGCCTGGGTGCTAGCCTCAAGTGCACAAAGCCCTGAAGAGGGAAGAGAGCACAGAGGAAGGAGACATTGTGCCCGTCCTTCCAGCTCCTCAGAACCCAGTTTCCAGGTCCGGTTGACAGACGTGAGACCCTGTCTCAACAAACAAGCAGGAAACTGAAGTGCCACAAACCTCACTGTGGCCAAGTGTGCACAGAATTTGGTAGGCTGCAAGTGGAGGACGCTGAAGTTTCTGGAATGTCCCCACAGCCCTTTATTACTGTTTGATTTGTCTGTGTGTCTGACGGCACAAGTGTGGGTCAGAGGACAACTTGTAGCAGTTGCTTCTCTCCTTCCACCATGTGGGTTTCAGGGACTGAACTCAGGCCATCAGGCTCAAGGACAAGAGTATTAATCTGGTGCACCATTTCACAGGCCTGTGAGTCGGATTTTGTAACAAGTTCAGATAACGTTTATAGTTAGGAAGACGAGAATAATGATTTTTGTTTCTTCAGGGACAGGATGCAACCCATGGCCTTGTGCTACTTGTTGTGCTGCCGAGCCATGCCCCAGCCCCTCCCTGGGGATTCTAGACAGGAACTCAACGCTGAGGTGTCATCCAGTAACAATACTTGAAAAAAAAAAAATCTGTTCTTTGAGATTGTTTCTCATGTGTGTGGGTGTCCTGCCTGAACGTCTGTCTGTGTGCCACCTGCACACAGGGCCCGTGGAGGCCAGAAGATACTGCCAGGTATTGGGACTGAAAGTACAGGTGGCTGTTTGCTGCCATGTTGGTGCGGGGAACTGAACCCAAGGCCCCTGTAAGAGTGCTCTTAACTGCCAAACCTCTTTCCAGCCCAGAAATCTGTTCTTATAGTAAAACATTAGCCTATCTTAAGGGTAACAGAAGGAAATAAAATCCCATGTAATCCTACAACCCCTGCTGACACTGAAATTTCTTTGCATATTTGAACCTCGGATTTGCTCAATGCTGAGCCAATAATAATAATAATAATAATCTTTTTATGAAAAAAACAAAGCCATCTAAGAATCTGCGATCTTTTTTCTGCATTTCACCAGTGAAATGTGACAGGGATCCATCACTATCAGTGAGTATAGACCAGCTCCTTCATCTTTACTGTACCAGTAAACCCATTTCAGAGGCAGCCAAGACTGTCCTCTGGGAGCTTGGTGACACAGAAGTCCCAGGACCTGGGAATGTAGGGACAGGGTGGATAGGTGGATCTTTGGGGACAGAGAAGGGGACAGGCGTGGCGCTCACCATTCCTGCAGGCTGTGGCTGTGCTCTGTATGCACAGGGTGTAGTGAGTAGCCCAGCCCCGGAGCTGGTGGCTGGGGACCGCTCCCCATGCTACAGTAGGTGTTCCTGGGGGGTCATCTTGGAGTCGCCAAACTGCTGGCCCAGCAAGGGGTGCTGTGAAGAACGGCAGGGCATCAGTATCCGCTGCGGCTCTGGGATGTCCCCCCTTGTCCTCCAGGCCCAATCCCTACCTAATTCCTCTAGGAACCCCCAAACTGGGGGCGCAGCAGCTAGGCCCCTGGAGTAGACTGCAGTCACCGTAATTCGATAGGGGACCCCACGTTTGAAATCTCCTGAAATGAGAAGGAAGAAGAAAACATTTACAGCCCGTTCTCCCTCCCCAGCGCAGTGCCGACTTGTAGGAACTGACATTTGGGCCCCTGGGAGAGGCTACTCCACACAGTGCCAATGAGACTGGGGAGGAAGATAAGCAGGTTGCAAACAATGCAAGGAGAGACAAGTCCTAGCTGTGTACAGTGACCTGCACCTACGGAGGTTGAAGCTGGGCTACACGGGGAGACTCTGGCTCCAAAACCTAAGAACCAGGGCTAAGGCCGTGCCTCAGTTGCTAGAGTGCCTGCCTAGCTCGAAGGAAGCCCTAGTTAGGTCCTCAGCAAGGTGCTCTCTTGATCACCAAGCTGTCTCTCCAGATTTGGAGTTCAAAGTCTTCCTTGACTAGTGAAGTCAAGGCCAGCCTTGACAAGACCATGAGGTGGAGGATAAAATAATAAATAATAAAAAACAAAATAATATCTGGGTGTAGTAGTGCACACCTTTAATCCAAGCCAGCCTGGTCTATACGGAGAAGCCCAGCTGGGTAGGGCTGCACTGTATCAAAGGTGTGGGAAAAAAGGGATTAAGGGCCTGGAGAGATGGCTCTGTGGTTAAGGGCAAGGGCTGCTCTTCCAGAGGACACAGTTCAGTTCCAGCACTCCTATGGTACCTAGCAATCATCTGTAACTTCAGTTCCAGGGGATCTAGAAACCTCTCTCGTCTCATGGGTACTATACACACTTGGTACACATACAGACACTCAAGCAAAGTACCCACATACATAAAGAATTCATATTATAATAAGGAATAAGAAGCCAGGCAAGGTAGCTCATGAGTGCGTTCCAGGACAGAAGGATATAGTGAGACCCTCTCTCAAAAAATAAAATAGAATAAGGAGCCAGGAATGGTAGCACATATCTTTGATCCCAATACTCAGGAGGCAGAGGGAAGTGGATCCCTGAGTTCAAGGCCAGCCTGGTCTACAGAGTGAGTTCTTGGACAGCCAGGGCTACACAGAGAAACCCTGTCTTAAAAAATGAGACAGACAGACAGAGAGAAGACCATTAAATGAAACATGGGTCTGGAAAGATGGTACATTGTGGTACAGAGGGCACCATTATGTAACCAAGTATGTACCTCCACCTCCAAGGGCTCCTCTGGCTTCTGAGAGCTCCTGTGTCCAAGAGCACATACACACAGACACAATATTAAAATATTTAAAAATCTTAAAGTCAAACATAGCGTGGAGTAGTGGAGTCCAGACCCAAAAGGATACAACTACAAAACACTCCTGCTCCTCAGGCTAGGGAGCACTGAGGAGACTGCAAGAGCCAGAGGATCGAGGAGTTTGCTGTGGCTACCCAAAAGTGAGCCAGACAGGACAACACCAAGAGACATGCCAAAGCAGGAAAAGTTCGTGGAAACTCAACCCCACACAAAGAACTGCAGGCAACTAAGGGATGCTGAGAGCGACAGAGAAAGTCTTCCTCGGGGAAGAGTAAACATGGTCATCTCTGAGAACATTTAAGTAACATTATTCAGACTGAGGTAGCTGCATTAGGACTATACGTGTATATACATATACGCATGCAATAGCAATTAATGAAAAAAGAGGCCATGAATTTGAAAGAGAGCAAGGAGGAGCATGTGGGAAGGTTATGGGGGAGGGAAAAGAAAGGAAAAGTGCAATTATATTATAATCTCTAAGAAATTAAAAACAAAATAAGTAAGTCTCCAAAGCAGGGAAGTGAGGCCCTGGGCTGTCTGGGGAAGCTGGGAACACAGTTCCCCAGCCCTCTTAATCACTAGACAAGGGCTGCTCCTGAGGGGCCTTGGTTTGCCAGCATTTCTGCTCGGCTACGCATGTGTCAGTCACCACAGTGCAATTTTGCTCCAAGGCCGGGAAGTAAAAGAACAGGCCGCTGAGAGGCACAGACACAGATCCTGCTGTGAGCCGGCACTCCTTTCCAGGGAGTCAGGCTTCTGAAGGTCGCCTTCTACACTACTGGGCCAGCAACGTGGGCCAAAGAAGGAATGTTCCAGAATCATATTCAGTGCTCTGCTCTTCCCCCCTCTGTCTCTGTCTGTCTCTCCCTCCTTTTTATCCCTCCCTCCCTTCCTTTTGTCCCTTCCACCCCTTCCTTTTGTCCCTCCCTCCCCTATTCTCTCTTCTTTCCTGTAACTCTTTCACTCTTTCCTTCTACCTTTCCCACTCTCTCTTCCTCTCCCCTTCCCTCTTTTTCATTCTCTCCCCCAGGCTGTCCCAAAATTCGTGAATAGTGCTCCTCCTGCCTCAGCCCCCTGAGTGCTGCCGTAGCCACCACAAGCTGGGACTCCTTCCTTTTTCCATTCAGTGCACCCATAAGCTTCCTGCCTTCCTCTCCCAAAACCTCATTTTCTTCCTTTGTACCTGAGACAGAAGCGCAACTCTCACTTCTCAGTCTAGAAGCCTGTGATGGCCTCTGCAGCTTTTTTCTCATAAAGTTACAATTTGAGCCATCTCTGGCTTCCTGTGTCAACAGGGGTCTCTGTCTGGCACAGACTCCCACCACAACACAACCACCAGGGGTCTCCGAGAGCGACTGCTAGAGTCAGCAGATACATGCTCTCAGTCCTCCCAAAGCTAAGGGTCCAGCCCCAGGCATTTTGTTATAGCAGCAGCAGGCGGAGCAGCGCAGACAGGAGCCGAGGTGTCCCTGGGCCTCACCTAGTAACAAAGTGCTGAGGTTTTCCGAGGGGAGATGGACCCAGTTGAGCTTGTCCAGGCTGTCACCATCCGGAGCCCAGTCCACCACATACTCCCACGGTTTCCTGGTCCCTTGCTTCCAGGTCACTGTTAGGCCTGGGCTCCCAGCAGTTCTGCTGACCACTACATCACAGGGGCCAGATTCTGGAGCTAGACATGGAAAGAAACACCTTGGCTGTTCACTCAGAAAGGCTCTTGTCCTCCAGGGTACTGGACAGAAGAACCTCATGTGTTTTTACCCAAGCACACCAAAGACAGGTTGGTGAGAGGCGCCTGGCTGCTGCTGTTGCCACTGGACACCGCTGCCCACTCCGTCTGTGCAGGGACGGGGAACTTGCAACACGGGACCTCTTCTTGTGTCCTAGTAACACCTCCAGCCCCACACCAGACTCTGTAAGTCACCTGCACACAGGTCTTTGGGTCCTGAGGGGGAGGAGAAGTTGTGGTTAGTGTGCCCCCATTTTGTTGAGTGCCCGCCATTTAGGATGTCAAAGCCCAGCAGCATGTGAGGCCCAGCTTAAGGATGAAGACACAGAGTCTCAGAGGGCTTCACAGAGCGGGGCTGGAGAGAGGAGACATGCCAATGGGTGTGAAGTCCAAGAGCCTGGTGGGGTGCTTCACATCTCCCATCTCAGCACGCAGTACCAGAATACCACTGCAGAGGCGGGAGGGGTGGCCACGAGTTTGTGGCCAGCCTATGTGGGACCCTGTCTTAGGAAACAAAAGTAAATCTAAAGCAGGCAGGACAGCAAGTTTACATGAAGAGCTTTGATCCCGCACCTATTGGACCTGCCTTGTTCTACTCTCTTAATCCTGGTGTCTGTAAACAGCCAGCTCAGACCCCTGCTTCTACTGCCCATTGCTGGGATCACGGCTGCACACTGTCACATCTGGCCCACACAGTGCTGTGGATAGAATCCATGACCTCAGACATTCAAGGGAAGCTCTGCTTCTTCCGGGCCGCACTCCAGAGGGACCTAAGAGCTTTGAAACATTCATTAAAGGCTCCTGGCCCGCTGCACACCTCCGGCTCCTCCCTTGTGGCTTTGTAACTTCCTCCCCAGTGGAAACTTACAAGGATAGGAATGTGTAATAATTTAAGTGATTCCAGCACACTCTAGCAGGGCACAATATTTAACACCTTCAGTACCACTACTTAGGAGACAGAGGCAGGGGGATTTCTGTGAGTTAGAAAGTATAAATGTACACACGCTAGATTCACACACGTGCATTCCAATATATGCTTTTTTCATGCGTGCATACAGTACACACTTGGATGTACACATGCATGCTCACATACATGCACTCACATGCATGCATCCACACGTTTGCATGTATACATGCATAAACACACGTGGAACGAAATGGATGGCATTTAATTGTGTGGCTCAGGGTCATCTTCTGTTGTATTCCTTGCAGAGCTCAGCCATAGCCGGCATGGCTGATGGTCAACAGTGCTGAGCCTGGAGCCTGGGGTCTCATACATTCTTACCAAGTATTCTGTAGCTGAGCCCTCCTTTAAAACCTTTTCTTTTTCAGACTAAGATGCCTTGACCTTGAACTCAATCTGGCTGGTCTCAAACACTCAATCTTTCTGTCTCAACTCTTGAGCAGCTGGGATCACAGGTGTGGGTCACCTTGGATCTCAGGACCAGGACACTCTCTTTTTTTGTTCGTTTTGTTTTTGTTTTTTCGAGACAGGGTTTTTCTCTGTAGCCTTGGCTGTCCTGGACTCGCTTTGTAGACCAGAGTGGCTTCGAACTCCCAGAGATCTGCCTGCCTCTGTCTCCCTGATTACAGGTGTGCACACCATGTCCGGCTCAGGACAGCCTGTTCTACCACCTGTCTGAAGGCAGCACGGGAGCTTGCAGCACAAGCGATGCGTCACTTCTTGCAAACCTGCCCTGAGATCGTGTCATGAGCCTATACCTTCATATCTGCTGCCCCTTGCCTGGGTCTCTGGCTCCTGCCCAGCACACCTCCCCTCTCTCACGGGTAGGTGGAGACACGCACACGCAGCCCCTCCCCTGCGCACCCAGCTCTGCAGGAGAGCGTTGCAATCCAGGAAAAAACCTCCAGGGGGCAGCAGAGAAAGCCATTGCTGCTTGGGCGTTCCCAGGCCCTGCAGAGAACTGCCTTTGGTCCAGCGGCTCACCTTCCACAGAAGCAGAGCTGCCCGCTTGCCAGATGTTTCACAGACGTTCCCCGACACCCACACATCTTCAGGAGATGATGAGAACAAGGAAAGGCAGTTAGTTAGATGGACAAGACTGCCTGGCCTGTGGTGGACCGCGGGCAAGAAGTGCATGACAAATGGAGACGTCCTCACCCGAGAGTGGCGTCTGGAAAGACAGGTCCCGGCTCCACTCGCCCCAAGGATATCCGTGCTCCACTCGGCAGCGTCCAGACACCTGGTAGCTGGTGCCAGGTTCCAGGTCCTGCATCTCAACAGGAGTCATCAGGTCTGTCCTCAGTTGTGGCTCCAGCTGGGAAAAGGATAGGGAAAGTGATGAGGTCGTCCTCTGTGCTCAGGAGACGTTCTTCTTTTTCCAGTGCTGTGGTCCTGGGTCTGACAGAGGCTAAGCAAGCCTCTAGCACTGAGCTACACCAACCCCTCAGTGTGTCTGTGTGTTCGTGTGTGTGCACAAGTGTTGATGTCAGGTGTCTTCTGTCGCTCACCATCTGATTTTAAACTTCTCTATTGTGTGTGAGTGAACGTTGCATGTGGGGGTGGGGGAGAGAACAAGTATGAAGTAAGTTCTTTCCTGCTACCTTTATGTGGTTCCCAGAAACCAACTTAGGTCATAGCGCTTTCACGGCAGCTGCCTCTTCCCACGATGTCAGATCTCACATGCCCTCCACTTTGTTTTTTTTGAGACAAGGTCTCTCATTGACTCTGGAGCTCATCAATTTCTTAGGCTGGAAGGTCCATAGGTCTAAGATTCACCTGTCTCTGCCTCTGCTGAGGTTACACGGTGCCAGCATGCCTGTCTTTCTCACATGGGTGCTGGGATCATACTCAGGACCTTTTGCCTGTGTGAAAGTACTTTGCTGAGTGATCTTCCTACCCCAGGCTGTTTTGTTGTTGTTGTTGTCGTTGTTTTTGAGACAAATTTTAGCTGTTTAAGATACCCATGCAGGCCAGGTATGGTGGTGCACACCTTTAATCCCAATGGGAGAGGCAGTCAGGTGGATCTCTGTGAGTCTCAGGCTACCAGGATCACACAGTGAAAACTTGTTTCACTGCCCCCAGCCCCTTCAGCTACCGGGGGAGTATCTAGGGTTGGCAATGCAACCCTTCTGTCCAAGTGCTCAGGGGGCTGGCCAGAGCTGGAGTCATGGCTCTGAGGCCAGCCTGGCTACTAGGCAGACTCTATCTGAAAAAACAAGAAACAAATGGACAAAGCTGCTTGTGAGGTCTTCTATGTGGGATTTGGGGTGACTCCATGACAAATGAGGTGCCAAATGAGCCTGTGCTCTCTTGGATTTGGGGTTCTGTCTCGTCTACTGGAAATGGGGTGAGAAGGAAGCCTGGCACTCACCTGGGCCCACTCTTTACCCTGGCAGTTTTTGTATTTGAACTGACAGATGAGAACCGTCTGAGGTGGCCACAGGGGTGGTGCCCAGTGCACAGTGGCTTCCAGGGGCGTTTCCTCAGAAAAGTCCACGTCAGGGAAGAGCTGAGGGGTGTCAGGCTTCACTGCAAAGAGAAGGCCAGAGGGCACGGAGCAAGGGCCTACAGCCACCCTCCCACCCTGACGGTGGGCCTCACCCCAACCCCACTGTGTTACTTTGTGTCTCCAGGTTCACAAAGACAGGGGACCAGAGAGGTCGTCCTTCTAGTGTCCCCCAGATGAGGAGCTGGTCAGCCATGGTGAACTGTTCCCGGGGAATGGTCACCCAGCTCTGCCTGGAAGGCACCTTCACCTCCTGGGTTCTGTTGAAATGGCTGTGAGGAAACACGAGAGAAGGGATACATCTTGGCACAGGCTAAGCTTGGTACCTCCTTGCCTGGACTTCATACCCTCAACCCTCTCTGCTGGAGTCTGAAGGCCTGCTCTTATGACAAAACTGTGTGGCCTGAAGCCAGTGATTTAACCCCTCTATCCCTCTTCTTCAATACATGTACATTCTGGCTGGGAGGTGGTGACACACACCTTTCATTGAAGCACTGGGGAGCAGAGGCAGGAGGATCTATGTGGGTTCAAGGACAGCCTGGTCTACTGAGCAAGTTCCGGGACAGCCAAGGCTATGCAGTGAAAGCCTAGCCAAAAAAAAAAAAAAAATCAAGAAAACAGAACAAAACAAATACATGTACATTCTGAAAGTGCTCAACAGTGGGCCAGGTGACAGACAATTCACACTTGTCATTTCAGCAAACGAGAGACAGAAGCAGGAAGATACCCTCCTTTGTTCCTTCTCCCAAAGCCCTTTTTGCTTTCCTTAACTTAGCTCATCAAAATGGAATTTCCAGACTTTTCCCTGGACCCTACACCCTGAACCCCACCAGGACCAGCTTTCATTATTGTACATTAAGACTGTTTTCGTTGTTGTTTTGATAAGGATTACATGTTTTGAGTCCCATGCTGGCCTCAAACTGGTTATGAAGCTGAAGTTGGCTTTGAACCCTTGATCAAACCCCTTGCTTCCACCTCCCAAGTGCTATGGCTAATAGGTGTGTGTCACGATGCCAGCTCAGAGTGAACTAAACTGCTCCGAAAAGTCAAGTTACCTCCCTGATGTCATATAACGATCTAAATGCTTCCTAGTGCTAAGCATTTTTTCTTTGCCATGTGCCTACCGCATTGATGAGCAGAATCAACCATGGGAGGCCCGTGCCATCATTACTGCCACGGGGGCGGGGAGGCTTGGCTCTTACAGAGGGAAAGTGACTAGTTACCGAGTAAGGAAATGCGTGGGCTAGCTTGAGGATCTTGAGAGTGTGGAAGGAATTCCCAGCAGCTGGACTCGAAGTCCTCTTAACCAAAGCCAGCTGAAATCCTAGTGGTCACTTCCCGCGCCTCAGTTTCTCCAAATCACTCCAGGTACTCACTATTTTTGACTCTGATGATACAGCACAGGCGGAATCTCCAAGTCGCCCAGAGGTTCCCAGGAACAGTTCAGGATTCCCAAGGGACCGACTCTGAAGCACTGCAGTGCGCCGGGACTGCCTGCAGGGGCGCAGAGGGCCGGGAGAACCGTGGTCAAATTCTCGGGACCTGACCGTGCCGGACTGCGAAAGTGTCCATCCTCCGGTACCGCGAGGGTGCAGTCCTGGAGCCCAGGGCCTGGCAGGTGCTGGGACGGCGCAGACGGATTACAGGCCCCTCTCGGTCCTGCTACATCCTGTTGTCGCACAGTCCCCTCCGCCATACAACTGTGACCCCGAGCCGGCCACTTAAGAGCCGCTCACCGTGGGGCTGCGTTCCGAGCAGCGGCGGCAGCAGCAGCAGCAGCGGCGGCAGCAGCTCCAACGGCGTGAGGCGCACAACCTGGAGCCCGCTCATGTCTCCCAAGGACAAACGACAACGCCAGGCCTGGGCTTGCAGCCTGCGGGAAGGAAACCACCCCGGCCCAGGGCAGGAAGTCCCCAAATCCGCCCACTCCCAGCAATGAGACGCACGCGTGCAAATGCTCAGAACTGAACCTTTATTTTTCGGTGGGGAAGTCTAAGTACAGGGCACCTCGCTCCCTCAGTCCTGGGGTTTACAACAGGGCGCTGTGGTTTGGGCACTGAAGGGACAGGAGCAGGGGGCAGCTTGCACTGGCCTGGCCAGGGGACAGTAGTGGTAATTAGGCCGGGATAAGGAACAGGGGGCTCAGTGTGGCCAGTTTGGGTAGGTGAGCATTTGGTTGCAGCAGGGCTCGGGGCTCGGTAGGACGGGATTGGGGCGGGTTAGAACTCAGCCATGAAGATGAAGTTCCTGTTTGGCTGGATGGGGCGTGGCCCGGAGCAAGGTGGGGATAGGTTGGCACGTACGTCTTGGTAGGGGGTCTGTGAGGAGGCAGAGCCTCGGAGCCTTGCCTGTGTGCTCCTTAACTTCACACAGCGTTGAGCGGGTTGGAGGCTCGGGCTGCTTCCTCATCGCCCAACCCGGGTCCTAGCACAAGCTGCTAATTTGGCTCTTACTACAGCCCCACTCGCAGCAGCTGCTGGAAAGGCCTGCCAGCACATCCCTGCTGCTGCGAACCACCCCAGGAGACCCTTGCCAGCTGGGTCGACCACCATAGAAGGCCTGGGGGGATTTGGTCAGGGCCAGCCACTCGCTGGAGCCCACAGCTTCGTCCAGTTCGCTGGCCAGGTTGTCTGTACTGGCTTGTCCATCAGGGAAGAAGTCCCCTGCAAAAGCAAAGAGGAAGAATCAGGGCTCAGTGCATAGCCACTGTCACCTCAGACTCCTGTCTGGCCTGGTTATGTCTCTCTCGTCTGGAGGATCAAGGTTGCCGTTCTAAATTTTATTTCATTCAGTTATGGGTTCAAATGCTGGCTCTGTTGTCAGTTTCTATGCCAAAGGCTTAGCCTTGAAATCTCTTCTGTCATGGATTTCATGTGGACCATGGATTTAATGTGGACCAGGTAGATGAAAGTATGCATTCGGTAGCTGGGCTCCCTAAGTTAGAATTGTGAATGAGATTACTTCTCTGAGGGTCAGTTTTCTTTTCCACAAAGTGTGCAGGGGGCTAATACTAACTCCTGTCTGTGGTTTTGCCACTAGTGGGAAACTGAGTACCAGGAAAAGCACAACAATACTGGGCACGTAGGAGCGCCCAAGTGCACACTGGTGTATACTGACTGTCTTGACTGCCTTTCCACATTAACTTCTGCTAATAAGGAGCTGCTATTGCCACCATGATCTCTATGAGACTGGGGCACCTCAGCAGGCTTGCATGAGGACACAGCCATTTGGCCACAGTGCTGCTGGTTTAACCCAGGCATGCCCCTGTGCACACACATCCATCATCCATCTATACATTTATCCACACATCTCTCCTCTCACCATCTCCACCATCTTCCCCACCCCCATTTTTGTTTTTGCATTTTTTTTTTTTTTTTTTGGAGACAGGGTCTCAGGCTGCCTTTGAACTCATGATCACCCTGCCTTCCCATAGTTTTGGGCTTGTAGTCATGTGCCACCAAATCACCAAGCCCTGGGCCACCAAGCGTAGTGTTGACCTTCATCATTGCCCTTGCCTCTACCGAACTGCCCTGTCCTGCTTGGCCTCTCGTAGTCCATCCATAATAAACAGTCTGCCCTGTTAAAGAATTTTGCAAATGTCATTATGTTGTCTAGAATGACGTAGGTCATGGAATCTATGAACAAAACTGCCACAAGCTGTCTACATTGCAGAGCTATAGAATTAAAAGTCTATATTTTATATATGTAGATTTAGCACACAAAATAGGAGGTTTTATTCTTTGTTAATCTAATATTGAAAGTGGGCATTACACCTGAAAATCTCTTGGCAAAAAGAAATCAGCTAGCCATAGAAACAGCCTTAATATTGTTTAGACTTTAAATATGAGAAAAATACAACTTTGGTCATTTCTAGTAGATGTTTGTGTAAGAGGAATGCAAAATGTAACCTTTGTCAACCAAGCCTGTCAACTAACCTATAGCCACATGAAAACAAGGTGTATCAAAAAGACAATTCTGTAATGAAACAGTTTATTCCCCGTCTGCATTTCCTTTGCAATATTTGCTCCTTTTTTTTTTTTGTTGCAATATTTGCTTTTAAAGCCTTCACAGAAATAAACTATTTCAGTTTGATATTTTTCAGTTCACACAAAAAATGTCCTGCTCAAATAAATTATCTAAAGTTTTATCTTAAAAAAAGAAAAAGAAAAAAGAAAAGAATTTCGCAATATCTCAGTGACGCACTGTGTGCTCCATTTCACCAGGAATAGTCTCTGCAGGGTGGTGGGGCTAGAGAGGCCAGAAGGCGGCAAAATCAAGCCCGGTGACCAGCATTCCTCGCCATCGTGGATGACAAACGTGCTGCACCCTCGCCTAGATCGTCCCAGGCTCCTCAGGGACGGTGGCGGTGGCACCTCTGCGCCGCGCCATGCTGCACACAGCCGGAACTCAGGAAAGGGTGGCCTAGCGGCTTTCTGGTTTTCACACCCCTGCCTCCAAGCCCCAGCATGGCTGCGTCCAGCTACCTCAGCTCTTCAACCGTACATCCCAGTCCTGGGTAAACTTAGAGGCCAGGCAGAGGGAGGCGTTCCCACTATTCCTCCGCACCCCTTTCTTTTTTCCTTGAATTCTCAACACTGGGTCTGACCCTTGTAGCCCTTAAATGTGTGAATCTTTGCCACTACCTCCCAAGCGTTTGGAAGGTCGGTGTGCGCCGTGCCTGGCTCCTACAACCCCTCCTCTGTTCTGGCTATGTGCCGACCTGGCCACCTTGCTCCAGGTTGATTGATTGCTCTCCCTTCGCACTCACCGAGAGAGTCGTGGGCCAGGATGTCCGCCCGGCGCCATCGTGAGCCCCCGCAGGTGAAGATGACCGCGCGGATGAACTCGCGACCGCACAGCTTCACCGCGTAGGGCGCAGGCCTCGCTTCAGCCTGCAGCGTGAGCACCCCGAGGAGGGCCCAGGCGGCCAGCAGCAGCAGCAGCGCGCGCCGGATGGCCGTTGCCATGATCAGCTGAGACGCCTGCGACCCAGGTGGCTCTGTCTGCACCTCCTCCGCCACCCCATTTATACCGCCTGGCTCCCAGCCCCGCCCGCTGACCTGGGTTATCTTCCAAGCACAGGGGAGGCAGCCGGCAACCTGACCTTTACCATCTCCTTGCCAAGAGATAACCTTTCACGCAGACAGGGTGACATGGCTCAGCTCTCTGTCATCTTCCACGGCTGAACAATCCTCCTGCTTCCGTCTACTATGAAATGCTGGGGTTATAGGAGTAAGCCACCAGCTCTCTTCTTGGTTTTCCTTTCTTTTTTTTAGAGAGACTCTCCAAGCCTGGCTAGCCTCGAACTCACCACTGGAGCTGGAGCGATGACATAGTAGATAAGACACTTTCTGTCTCTTCCAAGTGGCCTGAGTTTGGCTCCCAGCACCCAGAGCAGGCGGGTCACAATTGCCTGTAACTCCAGCTCCAGGGGAGATGAAGGCCCCGTAAGGAAGCTGCAAGTACATGCACATACATGTGAGCACATGCACATACATGTGAGCACATGTACAGACAGAAATAACAGTCTAAAAACACGGCTTTAAAAAAATCTGTCTATCTATCTATCTCACATCCTGATTGCAGTTTCTCCCCCTCCTCTTCCCCCTGTTCCCCACCTTCCCCACTCCATCTAGTTCTCCCGTTTCTCTTCAGATAAGATATTCTCTCTCATGAATATCAACCACCCCTGGCATATCAAGTTGCAGTAAGACTAGCTGCATTTTCTATTGCACCTATAGGGAAACGGTCCCAAAAGCAGGCAACAGACTCAGAGACAGCCCCTGTTCCCACTGTTAGAAGTCACACATGAAGAGCAAGCTGCACACCTGTTACATATATGCACAGAGCTAGGTCAGTCCTGGGCATGCTCTCCAGTCAGCAGTCCAGTCTCTGTGAGCCCCTACAAAAACACTTCTTAAAGAAAGGCCTTTCTTGTTCTGTAGCACAGCTGTGACCTTTTCCTTGGATCCTGGGGGCCAATTGTGTTCCCTGTACTCACGAGGATTGTGGAAGATTGTGGAAGGATTGTGGAAGATTGTGGAAGATTGTGAGGATTGTGGAGGTGTAGAAGTGTGAGAACAACTTGGGCAACATAAAGAAACCATGTCTGAAAAAAACAGAGTGGGAAGCTGGAGCGATGTTGGCACTTGCTGCCCTTCCAGAGAAGACAGAAATAACAGCAAACAGTGTGTTTGGTTCTCAGAACCCATCCTGGGGGCTCACAGCCCCCTGTAATTCCAGTTCCAGGACCTCTGATGCTCCCTTCTGGTCCCAGGCACCTGCATGTGATACACATAGACTCTCAAACACACACTTATTCAAACAGTAAATAAATACCTTAAAAAATAAACAGATGGTGGAACGCTTGTGCTGGGCTCCGTCCTCGAGGCCGAAAAACAGAGGTAGGATTCGTACCCAGTGCTGGGCCAGTCAGTGTTGCAGGACATTTGCCCACACTGTGAACCCCCAGATTGTGTTGCTTCCTGGGAAAACCTGTTTCTAGTTGTGGTGTGGCTCAGCCCTAGCACATACCTTTAATCCACGAGCTTTCTGCTTGAGTATTGTAAACAGAAGAGGCAGAGCAAGCAACCAGTTGACAGGGAGTTTTTTTCCTAAAAAAACATGGAGAGTAAGAGGAAGTCAGGAGGACCGATAGAGAGAAACAAGAAGGGAGGGTCATTCAGTTTGAGGGTTTTTGTTTTTTGTTTTTTTGAGAAGACATGGAGACATGCCTTTTGGGGACATCAGCTGAGGAGGAAGGTCAGCTGGGTGCCTTCTCTGCCTCTATAAGATAGTCCACTGTCACTCCAGCATCTGGCTCCCAAGTCTTTATTAGTAAAATTCAACAACTGAGATTTTGTTAAAAACAAGAAGTCAGTG